ATTAATTTTAATGAAAATTTACAGAGAGTTTGGATTGCCATTCATTTATTTTTGTACTTTTTCCCCTGCCCACCCCTCCCCTCGGTACACTCTTCTCTTTGAAAAGTAAAAGAAAAATTCTTCACTGTTTTATAATCCCTCCCCCCAGGTCCACCACACTATGCAGGCTTTGTTCTGGACACCTGTCATTACAATAATACCTAACCACCTAACACTTTAAACAATTTTTTCCCTCATCTGTTTCAATGCAGTATACATTATTTATCCCATCTTTCTCAGTCTCTTCCCAACCCCGATGTCAGTCCTGTTTTACAACAGTTGGCACTATGCAGTATTTGTCCTTTTGTGACTGAGATATTTCATTCAACATAATGTCCTCCAGGGTCACCCATTTTGAATAATATTGCATGAGTTCTTTTTCAATGCAGCATAGTATTTCATTGTGTGACTATATCACAGCTTCTCTACCCATTCGTTTGTTGATGGGCACTTAGGTTGTTTCCAACTCCTTGCTATTGTGAACAAAGCTGCAATAAACATGGGTGTGTGTAGATCTGCTTGGATGTCAGTTATGGTCTCTTTGGGGTATACTCCCAGTAGTGGAATTGCTGGGTCAAATGGTATCTTTATTTGCAACTTTTAGAGAAAGCGCCATACCGCTTTCCACAGTGGTTGCACCATTTTACATTTCCACCAACAGTGAATAAGGCTTCCAGTTTCTCCACAACCTCACCAGCATTTGTACCCTGCTGTTCTGTTAAACTTTGCTATTCTGACTGGGGTGAGATGATATCTCAAAGTTGTTTTGATTTGTATCTCTCTTAGAGCTAGGAATTTTGAACATTTCTTCATATGCTTTTTGGCCATCTGAATGTCTTCTTTGTTCATATTCTGAGTCCATTTTTCAAATGGATTGTTTACCTTTATCTTGCTGTGGTGCTCAAGTATTTTATAAATTCTAGATATAAGTCCCTTATCTGACACGTCCTTTCCAAATACTTTTTTTCAGTCTGTGGCTTCCCTCTTTATCTTTTTTTTTCCTATAATTATATTTTATTAATTTTCATAAACATTTACAGAGATTTTGGGCTTCCACTCACTCATTGCTGCACTATTCCCTCCACCCTCCTCCCAGTTTGATCTTGTCCAAATGCCACAGTGCTTGTCAAAGCCAGTTC